CATAAAAAAACTACCCAGAATTTTGGTTATTGAATTAAAGTGTACAAATAATTTCGGATATAATTTTGACAAGTAATATGTTGAGAGTTGACTATATAGAATTGTTCTTGCAATTCAAGTAAATGAAATAATGATTAGACAAAATCTTTATTTTTACTTCAATTGATTATAATAAATAGGTTATGGCAGCCAGAATAAATTTACCAAGGTGATCAATCTATCTACTCTTTTCCTTTTATTCTTCCTTCCCACACATAAATCATTTTTCTAAAATATTTAAGATGTTATATAAATATAGCTTATATTACACATCACTTCAATGTTGTTATTAGTTATGATATGGATGTGGATCACAAGTGCTGCTGTAATTTATCATTTCATCTCAGAATTGACTTTTGTAAGTTTTATTTAAATTAATAAATTAATATACTTTAAAAAAAAAAAGTAATTAATCCAATTAATTGCCATTGCCATTGCAGTTAGAAAGTTTGTTAATAGCTTCTTGTATAACACCAACTAATCTGGTAAGTTGATATGGAATTATTGAAAAATCTTATTAGTGCTTTTTAAAACTTTATTATTGCATCAACATTACACTATTATAGATTCTTGCCAACTCTGTCATACAAGGCTCATTTGTTGAGAAACACATTCCAAGCAATGTTCATAGCTAATGATGGTAAGACTAATAAAATAAAAAAATATGCAAAAAAAATTAAACTAGCCACAAAAAATTATTATCATTATTAGGAATAGGATTTCCATTTATGTTTTCGGCATTATACCTATTACAAAGATCAAATAACACTGGTTCTGCAATAGCACAATGTATATATTTTGTTTGGCGATATCATATATTATTCTCTATTGTAATTGGAATTACAATTGGAAGGATTGCAAAAAAATTATTAGAAATAGCTGGATTAAATTTGACTGGACCATTAGTCGTCGGAAAGGATCATGGAACAATTTGCAATGGCCCTTCCTCCTCTATGCAAATTCGTAATAAGGTAAAATGTGTTTATTTAATCAAAAGGTTAATTAATCAATTAGTTATATTACTATTAGTCATTAATTCAAAGATTATTCTTTAACTCAAATACTTTTGTCTAGAAAATGTATATGTAAATTTAGAAACATTTGAATTGATGCCGTCAATATATACAACTCTTCACTTGGATTGGAAATCATACTCACTTTGCATAGTAAAATTTGACTTGCAGATCTTATTTTCAATTAGATTATGTATGGATGGTCCTTTCTTATTGAAAAGCCTCCATATGTGAATTGCAAATTCATATTGATTAGTTTCTTTGGAGCAAAAAACTTCATAGGACCAAGTAATAGGTTGTAAATGGATGATGGTGATATTTGAGGAGAGATTAACCTTTTTGAATTATGTGATATCCAGTACTTGAAGTAAAGCAACAGAAATAAAGATGATATAAGCAATTAAACCTTTAAGAGCTGCTTTGACATATGCTATCTTACAAAGCCAATTGATTTAACTTTTTCTTCAATAATAGAGATTCAAGAAGGTTTGCTTTGTATCTTTCATTTCTGCAAAACAAAGCTACATTTCACAATTTTATGTCTACAATAACATTAAAAGTCAAGTTAATACTCTATATGCAATGCAATCGTTTTCATAACACCTAAATTTTCTTTTTTTCCTTACATTAATTAATTTTGTTTAAATTAAATGTTCATAGATAAATGTAAATATGAGATAATAATTACCATATTACTAAATATGATATTACCACATATATTTGTAAATTGTTCATAAAAAATACTATCAATAAATTATTTATTACTATTATAACTACTTTTGATTATTGACGGATTCTAAAGAATTTCTGCTTGATAATTTGTTTCTAGAAGATTATTAACTTCCTTATCATCACTGTTTCCAAGATCAATCAAAATATTTCATCTTTTGCATAATTGCCACTTTTATCAATTTCTTTTTTTTCCTCTTCAATTCTTCTTCTGTGATGTGGGTGTTGGTGATGCTCTTCATGTTCTTCTTCTTCATCATCATCTTTGTCAACTTCATCAAATTAACAATTTCAGCTCTCATTTTTCCTTTTTTATGTACACTTAATTGAGCATCTCATTCAACAGGTAAACTTTTCAGTAGTCTTGCAACTTGTTCGCTAATACTAGCAATAGTTGAAAGTCATCCAATATCCAATATTAAGTATTGGTACCACGATACTATGAACTACCACTAAACTGACAACAATAAATGTGACAACATTATCTTTTGTATGATTTGCTACATATGCATCCATATCATTTTCCCTTTTCTCAACCTCATTTTTAACTTCCATAGCCAGAAAAACTGTATTGACACCTATCAGGTCAAAATAACAGCAAACATTGCTTCTTTAAATGTGTGAATTGCCGGAATAAATTTTTTGAGTGTTGGAACTATTGGCAATTAAATAAAAATTAAAATCAAGATGCTAATTGGCACAAGTCTCTGTAATAAAAGTATATCCGAATCATAGAACTATCATTTCAATAATGCAAAAGTTGTAAGGTGAGAAGTAAATCAATGACATCTTGTAGACAAAACCAATCACTACAAAAATATAAAATATGTTTGTGGTGGTTTTTAATTAATTATTAAATTGCTTGATTTTAGATTCAATATTGATATAAATATTTACTCCCAAGCCAATACAGATCCAGCTGTAAAACAAGGCAGTAAATCATCCAAGCCGAGTATGCTAACACCATCCACAACAAATATCTTTATTATAA